TTTTTGCCCCTTTTTTGGCCCCTAATTCCTAAAATTTTGAGGCAATTACCCCCAAAATCAATCCCAGCATTCCTTTTGTGATATGGAACCTTGTGGTACAATGTCAGAGAGATCCATACACTAGCACACAAGTTATGTCTGGAAGTTACAAAAATGCTTATTTTTGGCCCCTAATTCCTTTACTGTTGGTACCATAACCCCCAAAATCAATCCCAACCTTCCTTTTGTGGTATTAAACCTTGTGGTAAAATTTCATAGAGATCCATTCACTTAAACTAAAGTTAGAGTGCGAAAACCAATGTGTCTTCGGACGACGCCGGACGACGACGACGACGACGACGCCAACGTCATACCAATATACGACCACAAAAATTTTTTTGCGGTCGTATAAAAATATCTTGGTATTAACTTATAGGTTCATTAAATTTTGAAACATATTGTGTTTATTTTGGTTACTTATCGTTTCTGTCAGTGGACTGTTTTAAACTATTTTGGCATACTATACGTTAGTTAAACACTGTGGCAAGCTTTACAAACAAATCTGTTTAGGCCGGTATTGAAGCACATCTAACATGTCTAATGTGCAAAAATAAATCCTAATTTCTGGCGAATTCATTTGTATGATCGACTATTCTAAAGAACATTTGTTACTTAGTTCCTTTTATATTCCTTCTCGGAAAGGAGGGGTACACTGGTTTTCTCCTGTCTGTCCATCGTTTCGTTCATCAAATAAAAGTGATGTTTATCCATGGAACTCGAACCTTTTGTAGCAAGCTTCTTATGGGCAAGATCTGCAGTGCAATGCATTTTCACATTCATTGCACATCAGCTTCCTGTTTACTGAATACATGTACTTATATATCATTACAGATAATTGTATGAAATTTATATCACATTTTTCTCAGGGACTAGAGATAATAACAAAATAACTATGGTATCACCATTCCTGTGTTATGCGTTTTCACATACATTGCTATTCAACTTCCTGTATACTGAAATCTTATATAGTCATGATAGTAGGGATATCATATGTGAGCAGTAAATTACAGATTAACTAGTTTAGTTTATTTTGTTATTAAGCAGCTTCAAACAATACATGCAAGAATACTAGTATTCTTTGATCTGTCCGTAGTTCATTTATGTTGCATATTTTTCAGCAATTGATCTAAAACCAGAACTTTTGGAATTCGGCACCGATGTAAGAATTGGTAGCTAAAGCCTTTGTGTTTATTTACTTTCAGGTCGAAAAAGGGGATATCTTTTATAAAAGATAAATATTAATTTTAACTACTAATATTTATTTTTAAATGTATAATTATGTGACAGCAGGAACTAACCTCCCAAATATTTTAAAGAAACTTTTATCCGTCGATGCCGTCTGTCTGAAAAATGGCTTTTAGCTATTTAGTAAAGAAGTCTTCTATTTAAGTCTGAAATGCCTCAATAAGGCACTATTTTGCGTCGTGAAAAAAATAATTGGCGGAGGGGGAGACCCAGCCATGCCGCCCTTTTTCATTTGGGATTGCACATTAAATGAACCCAGCTACGCCCCTTATAGATGACCTTTATATTTATAGTTTTCTCCCCAAGGTTTTTTAGCATTATGGTAATGTGATACTATATTGCTGGACTGTGATGCTATCTGAATTTATCTTTTTTTAAAAGTTGTGTTATGGATGTGATGCCAAAAGTTCTAGAAACAAGATGATATGTCAAAATTTTGTGTTTACTAGGATGCTTTATGAAATTAGTGGCCAGAACACTTATACATGTACATGAATAATTTCTTATCACTAATTTTTATTTGTACAGTATTTCATAGAGCCAGGAATCACAACTGCAAACCCTATCTAAGGTATTACAGTACAATGTAAGCTCACCAATATGCCTATATGTATTGATTTAGCCTTTTCATGATTCATACAGTCATGCAGCAAGACATCAGAAAACAAGGTCAATACAACATGTACAAACATACATTGTATTGAGTTATTAAACCAGTAACACTGAAAAAGCCTTTAAAGAAGAATATAAAAATAAAGTGATGTGGTTTGATTACCAATGAGACAACTATCCACCAAAGTTCAAATGAAGTGGATGCAAGCAATTATAGGCAACCGTACGGCCTCCAACAATGAGAAAAACCCATACCGTGTAGTCAGCTATAAAAGACTATTTTTACATTCTTTTTACCATGTTTACTGTTTCAATTTTATTCTAACTTCCAAGTGTTGCAGCAAAACCTTTGAAACAAGGTAAGTCAACCTGTGCTGTCCTGTAGTGTAACGTGATGATATATTTCTTTAATGTGATGCTATCTGAAATAATTTCTTATAGATTGTGCTCTGGATATGATGCTTTAGTTTTTAGAAAGAAATCAAGATTTCAAAATTCTGTTTGCTAGATGTAGGACACTGAACTTTGCAGCTTAGAAGGTGCCAAAAAAATAGAAACAAGACTGGTCAATGCAGTTCCAACCTGATAAATATAATATACTGTGAGTGATCACACTGAAAACATCCTTTAGTGGGATAAGTGTACATACAACTAGATATTCAAAACTTGAATTTTATTATGAATATCTATGGAAGAAAATTTTATTGAATACAAAAAATATAATACTATTATGAATTCAGTCATACATTGATTTATTTGTCCAAAACTCAAAATATTAAGTATGCAATAATTAAAAAAATATTAGGGACCTATTAGCTTTATAAACCCCAGCTTTATAAACCCCAGCTTTATAAACCCCAATTTAGACTCAGCAATCATTATACAAATCATTCAATTACAAAACTCTTCCTGAATTGAGTGCATGCATCAAGAAAATGGGGCATTAATAAATTTATAACCGCAGGTCTATGTGGAAAAACAAATTACAAAAGTATGTACAGGAGCAGGATAAAACAATAAGGACATAAATATAAAAAATTTCCAAAAAATTATCGTTGAGTCTTTGTCTTTGGCTGCAAAAGTTTATTGTGAAGACTGTCTACTATTATATACAAATCAAAATTGAAAAATATATGAAAATTGTACATACATAACAGTGTTCTCCCCAGATATTTTATTTAGCATCCTGGTAAACAGGGGAAATTGAAATACCATCTTGTTTCTAAATATATAGCATCACTACCATAACATAATCTATAAGAAAACCAATTCAGATAGCATCACATTTAAGATTATAGCATCACATTACCATGATGCTAAAAGGCCCTGGGGAGAACACTGACATAATACTGTGTATGACTCTTTAAAAAAAATGCACTAAATCCATTTGATGTAAATTGATTGATATGTTGCCTTGGATACACAACTTTCATATTAAGTTGTTATTTTTTGGCATGGAACTAGCTTTCAGTAAACATGGTAAAGGGTTGGGCTCTTACAAACATGCTTGTCCCTGCCACATTCTGTGTTTGCATGTCTAAAGTCAGCAGCCTTTTAGTTAAGTTGTTGTTGTTTGTTGCTCTATATCATGGTTGTTTTACATTTGTTGTTTTGTACATAATCTGGCCACTGGTTTTCAATCAATCATGTTAATTAACATTTTGTTATGTCCAATCCTTTTATAGCTTGCTATGCGGTATGGGTAACCTGGTTTTGCTCATTGTTGAATGATGTACGGCAACCTATAGTTGTTAACACCTATGTTATTTGGTCTCTAGTGATAGTTGTCTCACTGGCAATCATACCACATCTTCTTATTTTATTAATATAAAAAATCTATATAAAAATATCTTTTGAAACAAATTACACTGCACAACCAGGGCATGCTCCATAAGTAACCATGAACAAGTTGATACAATGTAGGTTACTGTATACAAGGAAAAAGAGAAAAACCTTAGGTACACAGAAAACACCAATCATCATAAATTATAAGAATCACTGATTAATATTAAATAACCGAGTGAATGTATTAAAGTTTGTACACATTTATTCATGTTAGGAATTTTGAAAATTTGTGTATTTCATTTTAGGGATAATTAAAAGAATTATAGAAGTTTGAATAACTATTTATGTCAAATACTGCAAAATTTAGATATTTTTCGTTTAAAATATATTTGCTAGCATCTACATGTGATTACTACATACCGAACTATATGAGTATTTTGTACAATACATGTAGGAAAAGGGGGGTCAGTATTTACAATATTATTTTATTTCAAAATCTAATTTTGGACAAGGGATGGGACTATTTCTGTTGATAAGACTACACTGAATGTCTCTTGTTTGAGTTTTATTCTGTTAATAATGAAGGCTTTTCAATACAATAATACATAACATGCTTGTCTGTCAGGTAACCTTAGGGAGTTTAGCTGGAGTTTAGATTGTTATTTTAGCTTGTGTATACTATATACAATGTTACACAATCAAATTAATAAATAACTGTTAACACTAAGATTTCGTCATTTAAAGTACTTTATCAACTAACCTGAATAGTGTTCTGTTTATTAAACTTTCCGCTCATAAATTAAACTGACCGGAAGTAATAACGTAGTATGCTTATTTATATAAACATAGTAAGTCTCTATGTATATTTAACACCAGTTAATTACAATCTTAGTTATGTATACAAATGCGTACTCGTGTGGCTTATTGCAGCTCGACTGTCTTGCTTGTCACCATCAAGGTCACAGGCACTTAAGCACATATTCCGTTTAAAATATATTGTTTCCGTGATGATAAAATTATCAAATTATTGTTCTATTTGATATCAAATTAACACACGCTCTTAATTACATTAAGAAATATAGTACTTTTTAACGATTCTTACGTTTTACCACAAAACGTTATGTATAAATAGCGTTGCTACAGAAAATTAAGTTTTGCATTTATTCCGCCGTAACACGGGTTTTAAAGATAGATTTTCACACTTGACTTAATTTCAGATACTTAATATACATTCAAACGATAATACTAACGATAGTGGGACTTAACTACAGTCTTCGATTAACTAAAATAAGGAGGAATTTATTTTCCCCCTAACTTACATTTTTCCGCCATTATGGGTAGAAATGCATGAGGACGCGATGCAACATGGGAAATATCCGCGCGACAAACAGCCACGTGTTCAGTGGATTATCACATGACCTTAGCTGTTAGCTTTTTATGATCGATTTCTACGTTCCTGACCATTCTCAATCATATTTCGAAAATTTGGTAAGTACGAGTATGATGTTTATAGAATTACACGTTTTTTTTTCGACTTCGTTTATGTATAAAACTGTGATAGGTGTCTAAGTCATCGTAAATTGTTCCATATTTTTAATGCAAGATAAAAATGTAATTTGACCTAATTATCATACTGTAAACAAACATTTTGACTTTGGAGATTTGATATATTACATGTATGTATCAATCAAACGTATCGTTATGCCATTATTGATTTTAATTTACTGTTTGCTAGAGTGGGTTGCCTTCTTTGAATCATTATTATGCGAAGGAAACGATATAGGTGTGGTCTTGCATAACACATTCACATACATGATGTTTACTAATATACAGTACAGTGTTGTTGTCATAACAGTGACGGTAACCATTCGCCGTGAATTTTGTCCCAAATGTACGATGAAGTTTATTTAGGCACAATAATTACATATTACGATAACAAGATGTCTGAATGAGAGTATTTCATTGACCTTGAGCTATTTTAGTGATGCATTTTGGATTATTAACCAATAAATAATACAATACTGATCAACCGACATGTTTATGTTTAATACGATTGTTTTACTTTTTTTCAGAAAGTAAGAAGAACAATTCCGTAAAAAGAATTTGGAACCACTACAATCAAATTACAAGAAAGGAACAGATTTTCAAATTAATTCCGCGTTTTTAAATTCACGTTTTGAAAATAAAGAGAATTATCATAATACTGGTAGTATTGAAATGAGCTCGTAAATTTGAGCTAGTGACCGAGGGAGCTAAGTATTTGAAAAAAAAATAATTTGAGGAGTTATATGGTTTGGCCAGATAGTAGCAAACAAAAAATACTCTTTTACAAAAAATGAAATGTACGCTGATGTATGATTTTCGTTTGAGTGCTACAGATTTTAAATTCATTTGCGTCACACTAATTTACTCTTAAACACATGTATGAAGTGTTTAATTATTAAAAACAACTTCAGCATAACGACGGATTTTAAATCTGACCAGATTTTGTTTCAAAACACATTTATGTCCTGAAATCATCGCCGAATGGCAGCTGTTGACTTCCCACGTGTTTTTTTTTTGTAAGCTTACTTTTTACAGAACACTAGCTCCAATAAATCATAATGTTTTAAGTCCCAACTAAACAGTTATGAAATTTTGAAGCATTTAATTATTTTAAAATGTTGAAGAGAAAATGATAAAATCTATTGTTAAGAGATCGAATATCTCATATTAAGAGTGTCATTAATCAATATTTAAAGATTAAAAAACGGTAAATCTCAACTAGAATCCCCGATTTAAGGCATCACCGTCGATAAAAAACATAGAAAGTGCATCAAAATATTTTCTAACAATAATTTTAAATTGACCTTTAAAAAAACGTGGTCACGAGTTAATAGACCATAAAATCTTCTTAAGTTAGATGTGTTGAAAATCATCGTAACTAAAGTACAACCAATTAAGTGAATTCAGTACAATGATGATACACTTTAAATGATAATAGTCACTGGTATTACTGATTATTAAAACAAACGTTGCCATTATAAGACTATTTGTAGAATGGATTTGAAAAAAATAGGGAATTTATAGTGACCCTTCCCATTTGAAAAAAAAACAAAAACAAAATAACGAAAATAAACAATAAATCATCCATGAAATATTTTTTATCCAGATTATTTAGTGAATAGTGTAACATTTAAAGTCATCTAAACTAAGTTGAGAGGAACAATTCGACGTGGAAAATAAGATCTCAATGTTGTAATATCGTATGGATAAGAACAAGAACATATTGAATAAGCAAAAAAGTTATTATTTTAAAGAATACATTAAAAAAAAGTTGAGGAAAAGAAAAAAAGGGTGCCCATGCCCCAAGCGCCTGTGAGCAATACAAGGATTGTTGGCATCCATGACCTTGTTCGCGTTTACACGCAGTTCACAGAAAGTAATACACGCAGTTATATTATTTACTGTGATAATGCACATGTACAGGGAAGATGTCGTGTCACTTGTTCCACATACGTCATGTATATTACACATTTCACAGTCGGATTTGATTATTTTTGTATAGCTTCATCGACAATGTTTTTCAATCGTGTTCAGTACACGGGTACTTATTGTCATCGGAGGGCGAATTTAGGTGGGACATGGCAGGCGGGCGCCACCCTCAAACTACCAAAGCATGTTGGGCTGCAGGTATGAAAATAAAGAAGAAAAGAAAATCTAAATATTACCGGTAAATTTTGAAATGTCCGGGGGCGAAGGTTGTCTCTGTCCTACCAGACTGACACATTGACTCCTCGTCTACATTTTCGCGCACACCTCCACAACCGGACGCAAAATCTTGAATCCTCACATGGGCTTAAATCATTTAACATGTAAGAATGCATCTTGCGCTGTTTAAAATTCACGCTCCACAAGGAGGTCACTCTTACTAACACTATGTTTCACGGAATTGTATTTATCCGCGTAAAGAAGTGACTTACAACAACCAAATTGTAAGATCAACCAAGTGATAACAGAAGCCCACCCCCGCTACCTTGATATATTAAAGTATATAGGTGTATTGTTTTCAGAGACTAGTGCCTGTGCATCCCCGGTAAAAAATAATACCATTTACTTCTCTTTCCATTTATTGATTTTAAGTTTGTGTTTGGATTTAGTTTTCCTGTACAAGATTGACTGGCGTAGGAAGGGGTGGGGTTTGATCCCCCACTTTCCAATCCACTCTTACGCCACTGTTCGGTCAAAACAAATTATTGAAATGTAAATGAAAGAGACTCCTACACTTTAAAACTATAGAAAACCTTTATTTCATTTATTCATTTTTATACGACCGCAAAATATTTTTTCGGTCGTATATTGGTATGACCTTGGCGTCGTCGTCGTCGTCCGAAGACACATTGGTTTTCGCGCAATAACTTTAGTTTAAGTGAATGGATCTCTATGAAATTTTACCATAAGGTTCAATACAACTAAAGGAAGGTTGGGATTGATTTTGGGGGTTATGGTACCAATAATTAAGGAATAAGGGGCCAAAAAAAAGCATTTTTGTAACTTCCAGACAATAACTTGTGTCTTAGTGTATGGATCTCTCTGACATTGTACCACAAGGTTCCATATCACAAAGGGAATGCTGGGATCGATTTTGGGGGTAATTGCCTCAAAATTTTAGGAATCGGGGGGGGGGGGGGGGGGGGGGCTAAAAAGGGGCAAAAAAAAACAAGCAATTTTCTAGTTTCATGACAATAACTTGTGTGTTAGTGTACGGATCTTTCTGAAATTGTACTACAAGGTTCCATATCACAAAGGGAAAGCTGGAATTGAGTTTGGGGGTAATTGCCCAAAACGTTTAGGAATAAGGGGCCAAAAATAAGCATTTTTCTAGTTTCCAGACAATAACTTGTGTTCAAGTGTATGGATCTCTCTGAAATTGTACTGCAAGGTACCATACCACAAAGGGAAGGCTGTGATTGATTTTGGGAGTAATTGCCTCAAAATTTTAGGAATTAGGGGCAAAAAAACAAGCATTTTTCTAAGTTTCAGGACAATAACTTGTGTGTAAGTGTATGGATCTTTATGAAATTGTACTACAAGGTTCCATATCACAAAGGGAAAGCTGGGTTTGTGTTTGGGGGTAATTGCCCTAAACGTTTAGGAATTTGGGCCAAAAAGGTGCCAAAAAACTAGCATTTTTCTAGTTTCCAGACAATAACTTGTGTTCAAGTGTATGGATATCTCTGAAATTGTACTGCAAGGTACCATACCACAAAGGTAAGGCTGGGATTGAGTTTGGGGGTAATGAATCATAAGGGGGTTCAAAAAATTGGGGGGGGGGGGTCCTTTTTTTTTTCTTTAAAATTTTCCATTTTAAGTTGGTTATTTCTGGTTTATATATAAAAGCAAATAATAATGATATGGTTTGATTTCATCAAAAATTGAAATATAGGGGTTCTTTGATATGCTGAATCTAACCGTGTATTTAGATTTTTAATTTTTGGTCCGGTTTTCAAATTGGTCTACATTAAGGTCCAAAGGGTCCAAAATAAAACTTATTTTGATTTTAGCAAAAATTGAATTCTTGGTGTTCTTTGATATGCTGAATCTAAACATGTATTTAGATTTTTGATTATGGGCCCAGTTTTCAAGTTGGTCCAAATCGGGGTCCAAAATTACACTTTGTTTGATTTCAACAAAAATGAATATATGGGGTTTGATATGCTGAATCTAACCGAGTTTTTGGATTTTGGGCCTCGTTTTTATACGCCCATTTACGGGACGTATTATGGTATACCGTTGTCCGTCTGTCTGTCCGTCCGTCGTCAACATGTCGGACATTAACTCAAAAACGCTTTAACCAATTTGCATAAAACTTTAGTGAATTGTTTATATCTATTGACGTGTGCTCCTTTTCTTTTTTTTTATAAATTTTAGATTTTACGTTTCCGAGTTATGGGGTTTTATTCATTAAAAAAAGGGGGATTTTCCAGTTTTCGGACAATAACTCGAGAATGCTTTCACCAACTTGCAAGAAATTGTGGTGAATTGTTTATATCCATTGACATGAGCTCCCTTTTGATTTTTATATATTTTATTATATTTCCGAGTTACAGGGTTTTATTCATAAAAAAGGGGGATTTTCCAGTTTTCAGACAAAAAAACAAAAATGCTTTCAGCAGTTCTTATGAAACTTAGGTGAATTGTTTATACCTATTGATGTAAGCTCCGTTTAGAATTTTATAAATTTTACATTTTACATTTCTGAGTTATAGGGTTTCATTCATTAAAAAATTCGTAAGGGTTCCGCGGAACCCAGTGTCTCGCCTACTTTTTCTGTTAATCGCAGGCGCAACAAAAATGAGGAAGTAAATCAATAAAAATATTCCTCTTGATACTATCTCTTGATTGTAAGAAGCTTCTGTCCAAGTTTGGTAAAAATCCAGGATAGTTTATGAATTTAATAAATGTTTAAAAACTTTAACTGCAGACTGAATGTAATGTTATCTGGAAAATAACAAAATTTCCTTCTAGATACTAGCATTTCATCATAAACAAGCTTCTGTCCAAGTTTGGTACAAATCCAAAATAGTATAAGAAAGTTATTAAAATTTTAAAAACTTTAACCGCAGAGTGAATGTGTTGTTTCCTGGCAGAAAATCTAAGTCCATTTAAAAGTAAAATAAGAAAAAAATGGATTTTTTTTTTACAAAATTTACTTCTAGATACTATCTTATGATCATAAACAAGCTTCTGTCCAAGTTTGGTAGAAACCCAGGATAGTTTAAGAAAGTTATTAAAATTTTAAAAACTTTAACCACAGAGTGAATGTAATATTTCCCGGCAGAAAAACTAAGTCCATTTACAAGTAAAATACGGAAAAAATGTAATTTTATTTTTACAAAATTTACTTCTGGATACTATCTTATGATCATAAACAAGCTTCTGTCCAAGTTTGGTAGAAATCCAGGATAGTTTAAGAAAGTTATTAAAATTTCAAAAACTTTAACCACAGAGTGAATATTTGTGGACGCCGCCAACGACGACGACGCCGACGGAATGTAGGATCGCTATGTCTCGCTTTTTCGACTAAAGTCGAAGGCTCGACAAAAATGGATTTTTTTTTAAAAAAATTTACTTCTGGATACTATCTTATGATCATAAACAAGCTTCTGTCCAAGTTTGGTAGAAACCCAGGATAGTTAAAGAAAGTTATTAAAATTTTAAAAACTTTAACCACAGAGTGAATGTAATATTTCCTGGCAGAAAAACTAAGTCCATTTACAAGTAAAATACGGAAAAAATGTAATTTTATTTTTACAAAATTTACTTCTGGATACTATCTTATGATCATAAACAAGCTTCTGTCCAAGTTTGGTAGAAATCCAGGATAGTTTAAGAAAGTTATTAAAATTTCAAAAACTTTAACCACAGAGTGAATATTTGTGGACGCCGCCGACGACGACGACGACGACGACGACGCCGACGGAATGTAGGATCGCTATGTCTCGCTTTTTCGACTAAAGTCGAAGGCTCGACAAAAAGGGGGGATTTTCCAGTTTTTGGACAATAACTCAAAAATGCTGTCAGAAATTCTCATGAAACTTTGGTGAATTGTTTATATCTATTGATGTAAGCTCCCTTTTGATTTTCATAAATTTCTAATATGATATTGAGAATTAATTGAACTTTATTTTTTTATAGTCTGACAACAGATTTACTAAGTATTGCGCAACAGCACAGTGTATTGCACACCAGCAAGAAATCTTTAATTGAATATAATTCAATTCATATAACCAATATCAAGTTCTTTGACTACATTTATTCAGAAACCTGTAATATGTCAAATATTTAATTACAATCCAAATTCAGACCTGTATCAAGCTTGAATATTGTGTCCATTTTTGCCCCAACTGTTCAGGGTTGGACCTCTGCGGGCGTATCCAGCTGCGCTCAGCGAAGCAGTTTATTAATTTTAGGCATGATTATGATGTCATTTTCTATTTTAAAAAATATTTATTTTAGCCATGATTATGTATGTGAAGGAATTTTATTTTTAGAAGTTACTATTTAATGTTGCTGATGAAAGTGTTTTAATTTTAGGCATGATTATGATGTCATTTTCTATTTTAATACTTTTATGATGTATTTAAATGGGTTTTTATGGTTGTTAAGTCCTAGCTGTCAATTTATTTTTAGAAGTTACTTTTAAAAGCTGCCGAAGGAATTTTATTTTTAGATATTACTCTTAAAAGTTGCTGATGAAGGTTTTTTTTAATTTTAGCCATGACTATGATGTCATTTTCTATTTTAATACTTTTATGATGTATTTTAATGGGCTTTTATGGTTAAAAAAAAAGC